TCTGGATGCACAGCAGCCTCAGTGCTGCTGCTGAGCAGTAATTCCACCCAGGTGTCCCAGATGGTTGCAATAAATGCTTGAATCCTGCCCTGAGAAAATTTTCAGGGGAAGAAAAACGACAAATCCAGAAAAGTTTGGACACGGGCGACTCTACCTGGAGTGACAGGGTGGGGTGGGCAGAGCTGTTACTGTTCCTGATTACCTTGCAGGGACTGGGGTTTTCTCTGTGCTCCATCAGCCTTCCTGAAACAAGTGTGCAGTTCTGGGATGGAAACTTCAATTTGGGGTGAAGGATTATCTCAGAACCGAGGAAAAGTCTGTGTTCTTCACTTGATACGCGCCAGAAATTCATTCTCTCTTTGTAAGGGTAGCACTTGTTCTACCTTCAATTTAATGGTGGATTTTCTTCCAGTGACAAAGGCCCCTGAAAGAACTTTGTTGTGTTCCTGGTTTCCATTTTCCCCACTGTTCCTGCCCAGTTTTCCACAGGCCTATACTGGGAACTGTCTTGCTGTGGGTCAGAAAGGGAATGTGCACCTGGGCTGGAAGCTGGGGAGGGAAGGAGTGTTTTCAAACTGGCCTTGCTAGTAGGGGTGTCCTGACATGAAACCATACTTTTCTTGTCCTTCCTAACAGCAGAAACACCAGAATCTTGTGCAAATGGGTTTATTTTGAAGGCATAAGCAACACATGTGACTTGTTGGACCATTTGCAAGGGGGAAACGTACCCAATGACTGGCTGTAAATCAGTTTAGTCTTGCACAGAAACTATTGCATATAAAACACCCCTTCACCGAAGGGATGGTGGAACTATTCATAAACATAAAACAACAGATGGCCTAGAATTGGGGATGGAAATTAAAAACTGGGGAGTTTTGGACAGAGTTCCCCAGTTAGGTGACTCACAGCGTCTTCTCCTCGCTTTTTTAACTTTGTTCCTGAACATCTCCAGAGTTCTTTCCAGCGTGTGTCACGCACCACATGCTCTATTCACATTCCAGGTATCCCACACTTGTTTTCACAGAGTCAAAAACTAAGTGGTTGGGTTTTTTTCTCCTTCTCTCTTTTCTCCCCCCTTTCCCCAAACCTTGGTCTATTTATAAAGCTCCAAAACTTGTGACCGACGTGCAAAAGAGGAGGGTTTAACGATCAGTTCTTCTTTCTGACGTTGGTTTTTGCAACCAGACAGACCAGAGTGCACTGCAGATGTCTGGTCTGAGTGTTGTATGGGTGGAGCACAAGAAACAGGGTGAACATTTTTGCTGTGGCCTTCTCCGGTTGTGGAAGGGAACACACTTCCTACAGGTGGTTGTTGTTGCTGTCGCAGCATTTTCGTGTTGTTTCTGACAGTTTGCTGCAGTGCAGCTCTAGTTCAGCTGCTGCAGGCGTTGTGGGTGATTTGGCCAAATCTTCCCTTGGAGACGAGGTTCTTACTCAGGAGAGCTCAGTGCTTGGTAGGTGGCCATTTAACCAGACTTTAGAAAGCTTTCCAAAGTGAAAGGCACAGAATTTCACCTTGTGCTGTGCCAGCCCAGAACAAAAGCCTTGGCTGCTGCTCCTGACAGGAGCAGTGCACCTTCCTCATCAAAGCCATCTGCCCCTTGCCTTGGGTGTCCTCATGGCACAGGTGCATTTAAAGGGATATTTCCCTACATCAGATTACAGCTAGTGTGGAAATAAAGCCCATGCAGTGCTGAGGGCACGCTCTGGCATTCTGCAGTATCCATGAGATGCTTTGGAAAGGATTAGTCCTTAGCTTTGTCTGGATATGTGTGAGCTGGATGTGAGTTAGTTAGCTACTGAGTTAGGGCAAAACTCTGGTCTCAGCTCTCCTCTTTTCCCATGCCAGCACAAACCATGGGTAATTCCTTGAGTATAATAAAGTCTTGTTTTATCCCAATATAAATGAGAGAACACGCCAAGTTCTTGGTGCAAATACGCAAAAACTTGTAAAAATTCCTTTTCTTGACTTGTATCTTTCTCTACCATTGAAGAACACTTTTCTTTTCCTGATCATTCACTACAGAATCCAGCAGTGGCTGCAGTAGATGTTGGCACAGGTGGTCACAGGTGTTTGCAGAACCTTGACTCCTATTCATAGGAATTAGAAAACAGTTCTTGGGATGTGTCAAAAAAAGGAATGAATATGTCTACCTCTTGTGTTTTTATAGCTTGATAAACTCACATTTAAATTTATCATTATGCTTCCAAGCACTGCCATTGCTTCTCCATGGATTATTTCACTTTCTGGCACAATGATGGAAAGAGCTTGGGCACCCCAGTCTCAACTATTTTTCTTTTTCAAAACAGTTAAGCCTGTACAGTTTTCTTCTTGGCAACTGCTTTTTTCCATACTGCCAGGACGTTGTTGAGCTCTTCTCACTTCTTTTGGCACGGGTGCAAATAGCAACCCTTGGCTTTATAGGTTTACAGATCACATTTATCACTGGAAGGCTTAAAAATTCCAGGGGAAGCCTCAATGAGCCACAAACTTCAGCTTCAATGATCCTGGTCAGCTACTCTTTAATGCTTCTGGGATTTGAACACTTTCTGTGCTAATTTGTGTCCCTTTGTCAAAAGAACAGATGGTTTTGACAGCTTAGATTGTGGACTATTTTTCATGTCTGCTTTGACCTATTTGAAGCACTTTGCTGGCTGTGCATGCTGCCCAACTGTACAGACAAAGAAGCAGTAGTGAAGACATAACCAGAATCATCTCCCTGTCCTCCTCCTTGCTCTGTGTTGTTAGGATGTGCTGGGCAATATTTGCCTTACTGTCACATGCAATGTGTGTCACTCCTCAGTCCAAAGGAAACTTGAGACAAACTGGGTTTCCCTCTGCCCTGTGCTGTTCCAAGGCCATTGCTGCTGTTTGTTGAATCACACAGGATTGAAGCAAAGCTACAGCCCTTCCTATTATTTCTGTATTTCAATCATTTCCTCCTTCATATTAAGAAAATACTTAAAAACTCCCCAAAAACTGTGAACATAAAGGAAAAGAACCTCTTAAAAATTGCCTCAAAAATTGCCTGGCATGTGCCAGGTTACAGGGCAGTCTCACAGTATTCTGCTTATATTTGCCAAATCAAGACTAGTGGTTATCATTTTATGAAATATACTGTATCATATCATATTTCTTTATGTCCTCTCCAAATGTGATGGTCCGTGGTCCCAAGTGCTTGAAAACCATGCTGTGGTGTGAAAATGTGGAGCTGCTGAGCTGATACAAGTTGTTTAAAGAATAGTATTCCCACTGTGACTCGTGCGAGTTGTCTTCCTGAAGCAGAAGGATGGCCCAGCTAATTAAGTTGTTGCCCAGAAGGTTCCTGAAATTTCCCTCATTTCTGTGCTGGTTCTCCGAGCCATGGCATCCCCTTATACCGAAGATAATGTTGTCTGAGTGTCACCTCAAAGTGGTTTTGTTGTGTTTTCCCTTTTGTGATTGCACATATCCTTTCCAAAGTGTGAGCAGCCTTGGTTAGACATAAGCAGATGCAGGAACTTAGAAGGAAACACTAAAATAGGCAGGACTGCACTGCCAGCTTTTCTGTGTGAGAGCCTGGAGTTGTGAAGTTAGCTGCAGCTGGGATGGTGTGAGAACAGCAGGATCTGTAGTAATAAAAAACCCCCGCTGTTGTTTCCCTTATCCGTTTCATCTGAGCTGGAAATGACTGTGGATTCTTGTCTTGTTGTCCCATGGCTCTCTGCCTTGGTTGCAGTCCTGCCCCTGTCTCTCCTCTGGTAGGAGCAGCCTGGCCCTCAGACCCTGGAGTAGGAAATTTCAGTTTGACTCATGCTGCTGAAAGGGCTGGAGCTCAAACTCAGTAGATGTGTAGGTTTGTCCTTAAGCTTTGTCAGAATGGGATTATATCTGTTAAAAGAAATCCTGGGCCTCCAAAAATCTCATTTAAACGTTTTCATTAGGAATAATTTAAACCTGGGGTGCTAAACTTGGGAAAAACCTTCCCAGTGTGAGTGAGATCAGATTAAATCTCAAAGTGGGATTGTGCCCAACCTTTATGAAGAGCACGTCTTGTATTTGTTTTATTACACAGGATGTCATGAATTTCTTTTGGTTCTTGCTGTCTCACTGACTCAAAGGTCATGCCATGCCCTGAGTGCTCTCCGTGTGGCTGCTTTCTGTCCAGCATTGCTCCACCTTGTTCTCTGGCTTGTGGAATGTTTCCAACCATGTTGGGTTTTACCTAAATTCTGGTGACTTCTGCAGCTCTGTGAAGCTCTTGGTGTTCTGCAATATTTGTAATCTCTCCCAACAGTCCTTTGGAATGATCAGTGAGGTTTATCTATGTTTAGTTGATTTCCTGCAGTGTGATTCATGAAGATGCTGGGCTGAGTACCAGCACTTATTTATCAACATCTACAGTGGACTGCACCTCAGAGCAGGAACTGTTTGTTCAAAGCAGCTGTCCAGAGGCTGTTAACTGGACAAAACTATTCTTTCTGGAAAGCCAGTGCTAGGTGTGCAAATAAAATCTTGTTCTTTAACAGATTAGTCATCTTTGAAAGATTAATCATCTTTTAAGATGTTAGAGGATGTTGTCAGTATGGTCCCATAGGTGTCATTTCCATGACTCTCACCAGTTGAATCCAGGAGGCAAGAAATAATTGTGTGTCTACAGAGCCCTCAGAGGAGTCAAGTATCTTCCAATGTTTTATGCCATTCACTGACTTCATTAAAGAGGTGCAAAAGCCATGCTGTTCCCTGAGCACATATTAGGTATGTATTGCAATGATACCTACTTAATATGTGCTCAGGAGGATGATGCAGGACTTCTTTAACTCCTCAGAACAGAGGAGCCCAAACTGCATAAATCACTTCTTTTATTTGGTCATACTGTCTTCAAGATACTCAGGGTTTTCATTCATGTCTTTGTCAATTAGTATTTTAACTTCTGGGATTGTTAAGTAGCTGTAAAACACATTTAAAAAATATAAAATTATACCCTTGACACATGCCTCTTTTTTTATTTTTTTTTTAGGAAGTATTTTGGAGAAAAGATAGGCCTTTATTTTGCATGGCTGGGTTTGTACACGGAGTTCCTCATTCCATCTTCAGTAGTTGGGATCATTGTATTTCTGTATGGATGCATAACCATTGAAAGTGACATTCCTAGGTAAGTTTACCTGTGATCCATAATAAAGGATATTGCATTACCAGTTCTGCTGGTCACACTCATGATGGGTTCCTGCAGTTGCTTAAATGAACTGACAACTTTTAAAGTGGATCACTGCAGTAGGACAGGATTACTGATAGGTAAGTGATGAACTGCACCACATCTGAGTCAGGGTCTGTTTTCTTAGCTTGATCTCAATGAATCTTGGTGGGCTGTGCTTGACTGCATGAAAGCTCGTGCTAACATTTCAACCTTAATGAGATTTATGGCTAAGATGTATCTGCAGCACCCTCTGCTGCCTTTTGAAATAGATCATTACTGTGGCAACATGAGGGCTGGAAACAGCTGTGTGCATTTCAAATGATGTAATATTAAACATACTGATACTACAGTTGAATAGTTTTTGTTTTTTTTTTTTCATTTGAAGTCACGTAAAAAGCTATTTAATGATGATCAATATAGGAATAAACATAATCATGATGTGCCAGGCTGTCCTTGAAGCAATGGTGCAAGTCTTTCCTTGGCTCATGATCCTTGAGCTTTGAAGTGCCTTGTGAGCTAAGTGAGACTGTGCAGGTATGAACATCTTTCACAATCCAAGCCTTACGGAAAAAAACTGGAAGCACAGTCAGCACTGTCAAGTAGGGTTTGGTTTGTTAAAGAAATACTGATAATGATTTTTTAAAGACTTTTAGGAACTGAACAGATACATAACAAGTAAGACTAAGAATTAAAATAACAACCTTACATTAAAATTTTAAAACCTGTTTAAAAGTCTCTTCTCCTACATTTTTGTGCCCCCATATTAATGTGTGTTTTTTCAAGGGCACTGAATTTTCCTTTAAGATCACTTCAGTGTTCTTTTTCGTTAATTTAAATCTTACCTGTGTCAAATTACGTAACTGACTTCGGAGATGGCAAATTCTGCTTCGTGTTTGAATGGGGTTTTTTTAGTATGGTAACCTCATTCTTCAGTGATGAGGTTCCCTAAGTCACTAACACAGGGTAGTGATCAGTCTGGTTGAGTGTTGCATTGTTTTTTCTGTTGGTAAGGTGCCTAAAAGTATTTTAAAAATTATTAAACATATATATAAATAAGCCTTATATATAAACCATATATATAAATAATAATAAATATATAAATAATAATAAATATATAAATAATAATAAATAAGATATATATATATAAATAAGCCTTGCAGAAACACACAGCCTCTGTCAAGTGCAGGCCACATATGCCACTGCTGCACATCTCTGTTTCCTGAGCTGTAACACTCAGAGGATTTTGTGCACTTGTCATTCCCAGCAAAGAGATGTGTGACCAACGCAATGCCTTCACCATGTGCCCCCTGTGCGACAAGTTCTGTGATTACTGGAACCTCAGCTCCGCTTGTGCCACCGCTCGAGCCAGCCACCTGTTTGACAACCCCGCCACGGTGTTCTTCTCCATCTTCATGGCTCTCTGGGGTGAGTGTTGCTGCGCATGTTAATGGTGCCACTTGATTTTGGGACTCTGGGCAGGGTGATAGGAGTGCTGTCAGACTGAACGTGGTGTTTTAGGAAGCAATCCTCGGGGGGCCAGCGAGGGGCTGTCTGTGCTGCAGAGCGCTGAGTGCCACGTCTGCTGAACACCTCCAGGGATGGGGACTCCACCACCTCCCTGGGCAGCCCCTTCCAATGCCTGAACTCCCTTTTCAGTGAAGAAATTCTTCCTGATGTCCAACCTGAACCGCCCCTGGCACAGCTTGAGGCCATTTTCTCTGTGGAGGAAATTGTGCCTTTAATGGCACTTCTGATCTTTGCCACGTCTTTGTTCACTCTTCTTCCTTCTCTGTCGACATTTCAAGCCCTTTTAACACCTTCTGCATTTGGATCCAGAATGTATTTGAGGACTGGCATGGTGCAGGCAGCTGAAAGGGTTTAATTTAAGCACGGAGTGCACTTCCTTGTGGGACAACTTAGTCACATAATTTTATCAAAACTTTATGGACTTTGAAGAACAATGGGACTATTATGATTTTATTATCGTATGTTTTAAAGTATTCCATTTAAACAAGCTTGATTTTCTTTAATGGCAAATATCCCTGTCTCACTGAGGATATCAAAACACTTCATGAACACAAATGAATACATTGAGTATTATTCTTATTGTTTCTGGCCTCAGCTCTGCCCTGAAAAGTGCGTGTACTGTACTTGCATGAATTATTGCTGGTGTTATGCCCTTATATACTCTAGATCTTCTTTATTGTGAAAGTTAAAGGTGTTATAGCTACTGTAAAGTGATTTTTTATTTCCCTATGCGTTGTTCCCCAAAAGTAATTTTCATTCTTGGTATGAAATGGAGCAAACGTGTTATTGTATCGTGGCCACTCCTCAGCAATCGGTGTGTTGAGCTTTGCAACCCCATTAAAATTTTACAGCTTGTTTTAGAAAGTGAGGGATTGGAGGCTTGGTGTTGGGTCAGGACAGCACAGGGTTTTTTAAGGAACTTGCAGACAGAACACGTCATGGAAGTAAGAAGTGTTTATTTACCAGTTCCTGGAAACCCTAGAGCAGAAAATAGGGAATATGTAAGAACTATGACTGAGAAATGGAAAAAGAGGATGAATTTATAGCCTCTCACAATGACTTCTTTTCCTGTTTGAGATTGCTGCCAGTTGCAGGGTGGACTGGCAGATGAAGTGTCACAGCTTACACTGCCCTGTCCAAGTTTCAGCGCAGCTGTTTAGACAGCACCTGTGTGCAGGACAATTCATTTACTCTTTCATAGGTAAAGAGCATTTTCCTGACAGAGAATCTGTCCTGTAAGCTTGCCCCCATGCAAATGACCATTTCCATGCAGCCTCATCCAGAGCAATTGGATTTTATTATCAGCAATGCATCATGCAAAGGAAAATGTTGATATATCCTTGCACTAAGACAAATTAGTAGAATCTGTTATGGAACAGAAAAGAACAAAAAGTTCCATATGCACTGCTTTTAAAAAAAAAGGCATGTAAGAATAACAAAATTGGTTCTGAGCTGCAGCCTGCCTCCAAAAAATGTTTCCCACAGATTGGAAAAGTCTGTTCTTGGGACTGTGATGACTGAGCTTGTCAGTGCACGAAAATACAGCTGGCATATACAAAGAGCAGCAAAGGGAGAGAAAGTAGCCTTTACTAACTCTGCCCAGCTTGCCTCTTTAGTATTAGATTACACCAAATTTTGGTGCCTTACTGCTAGAAGACTCTGTTGGTTATATCTAGACCTCAGTCTGCTGAAAGCAGTGCTCATTCACACGCTGGTTACAGCTGAACACTGCAAAGAGCTAAGTGTGGTCGTCTGGGCTGCCTTCATCTCACCAAGCTGTTGGACACGAGAATGTGTTCATCCTGCTTGTCTTCTCCCATCCTTTAAAGGGTAGATGGCTTGCTGTGATCAGCTGAGAGATCAGCTTTTATTAGCTGATGCTGATGCCTCATAAAGCGTCCCTGTGATTCCAGCAATCCTGCTTGCAAGTGACCATATCCACAGAATGAGAGAGCAATGCCTGGCTGATTGTGCTGAGTGTCACTGGCGTTCTGGGATGATGAATTTCAGCTCTCAGGCGCATTTATTAGGACAGTTTCACAGAACCACAGAATGTGATTGGGACCTTAAAGATCTCCCAGTTCCAACCCCCTGCCATGGGCAGGGACACCTTCCACCAGCCCAGGTTGCTCAGAGCCCCATCCAACCTGGCCTCGGACACTTCCAGGGATGGGGCAGCCACAGCTTCTCTGGGCAACCTGTGCCAGGGCCTGCCCACCCTCACAGTAGGGCATTTCTTCCTAATTTCTAATCTAAACCTACCCTCTTACAGTTTAGTTTCTCTGCTGGTGCAAGTCAGTGCAAACTTGCTGATTTCAGAACAGCTGCTGCATCAAGCCAAGGAAGTTCTTACAGAGCTAAATGTGGAACTGACTTTTTGTATAACAGGAAAAAATGGAATGAGTGATAGCACCCTATAAACTAACCAAATGTTTTTGTATTTAGGATATCTAAAAACCCCTGAGTTTTCAAACCATACTAAATATAGCTTTTATACGTTCTCTCCTCTGTAAGGAAGGATCACAGATAGGAGCTTAGTTGCATAATGTCTTGATTTGCTTTCAGTCCTGTCTTTAAATGATATTTATTTCTTACACGATGGGAGGATACCTGTGCAGAAAATAATTTCCATCTAACTGTTGGAATAGATTGGGACTTGTAAAATCCAGGTTATTTTGCTAGTATTCTAACTTTTCACACTGTTGTCTTACAGTGTAGATGAAGTCCAAGGAAGCTGGATTTAACTCTCCATTGTTGTATGTCTTGTGGGGCCGCCTCTAAGTTGTTCAAAGTCATGTAAATACTGCTGTGATCAAACAATGCTTTTACAATACCCTTTTCACCAACTGAAAAGGTGAAGTGAAACATAATTCAATGGAAAATGGTGCCCACAGTGGTCTGAGGGTATGGTTTTTATCAGCATAGTGGGTGTTTTTAGTTGGCATGTCCTGGTTTAGTTTTGACATCGTTATCTGAAAATGGGTGCCAGCAAGTCAAGAGTCAGAAGTGCTATTTCTAATAAACCTGTAAGTTCATAAATCATGAGCAGTGAGACAAAGGGCTGTCTAGAGGAAACAGCAATTATGAGGGGAAAGTCAGGAGACTGTAAATATGAGACAACAGTAAAACATCTGTTCCTTTATATTAATAAAAAGGAGAAGCAGGAGGCTGAACCAGCCACCAGTCCTTTAGAAAAAAATCACCATGTCCATGCAGGACAAAATCACCCAGCTCTAGCACTATAATATATTTCAAAATAAGATATTTTTCTACATCTTTCTAAAATGGTTCTCTTTTTTTTTTTTTTTTTTTATTTTTAAGCTACTATGTTCCTTGAACAATGGAAGCGTTTGCAGATGAGGTTGAGTTACTTCTGGGATCTGACTGGGCTGGAGGAAGAAGAAGTAAGTTCCCTCTCTGTGTGCTAATTTACTGTATAAATTATCCTCTATTTGAATATATGTCTCCATAGGTTTCTCATGAGTGTTTTCCAGTCCAGTGCAGTTCATAGCTGTGTTTTTCTAAAGGACTGCAATTGATACAGTTCTGAGCACCAGAGTGTCATTTAAGAAATCATCACCTCTTATCTTAGTAGTCAGCACTCCAATGTTAACAATTAATGCTGAAAAGGATTATAAGTTCCCAGCAGGTCATGTTTTGCTGGCAATGCCCATGTGCCAGGGCACAGTGTGCAGCAACAGAAGGGCACAGGATAAATACCTGGTCATATGGATGTTACTTCATTATGTATAACTAAAACTCAGGTCACATAAGCAATATTTGCATCCAGGTCTGTGTGGCATCTGTGCCATTCTGAGCTCCAGCTGCTCATCAACAGAGCTGTTCCAAAGCAATAAATGGGGCTGGTTTCATCAGAAAGTGCTTTTCAATGAACCATGGGGATTCCAGCTGTGCCTGAATTGACTGAAAAGTGAGATGTACTTGCTTATTGGCATTTACAACGTCCCTGATTTTGTTTTTAGTTCTGTTCTTAGACAATGGGTCTGTTTAAATGCCTTTTCCTCTCACCCAAGGATTCCTTCCTGACCAAAGAGAGTACAGTTGGTATCCATGAATATCAAACTGAGAACAGGTAGACTTTGGACCTTCCCCTGCCAGTAGATGCTGGAGGTGTCTCTAAGGACAGGGTCATATTCAGGAATTCAGAACTGCAGCAATTAGATTCTTGTATGGTTTGGAGTGAGCCAGCTCCCTGTCTGGAACAATTCAATGTGCCTTGCTTTCTTTATTGACTCAATAAAATGTGATGCAGTTCCTGGAAGGTAATTGCAGGCCTACCTTGATATGATGGGAGGTTTTGAACCCATTTCTTCTCTTGGTGTTCCAGCACAGCAACAGCCCACAAAGAAGCCTTCAGCCACTGCTGAGCTTGAGCTTGAGCTCAGCTCTCAGAGGGTGTAGAGTGCAAATAACATAGAAGGAAAGTGAGCTGACATCATGAACTTCGTGATGCAGAATGGTGATAATATTATTCCACTTCTGCCTACTTCCCAGATAACTGGACAAAATGAAAAGATAACCCTGAGAACAAAGAACAGACTCCAGTATCCCTCTTATTCCATCACTATCCTGTCACACAGCAATGTCTTTAATGTATGGGAGACCTCCCAAATATTCCCAAAAATTTCACTGCTGACTTGACTACAACCTCCTCTATTTTTCACTTGGTTTCTCAGCTTTTTAGTGCTCTCTCTCCAGTTTTGACGTGGGTGATGCTCACAGTATAACCCATTACACCCAGTCTGGGAGTTCTGGTGCAAGCCCAGTGCATCAGCACATCAGAAATTTCTGCTTGTCCTAGGTGGAATCTCCCTGGGAGAGCAGCAGTTCTGTACCAATTACACTGCAAAAGGAGAGGCTGGAGAGTAAACTCTTGGCTCTGCAGGGTAGTTGATGAACCAGCCAGATTTTACTGAATTTCAACTTGCAGTACAAAATCCTAAGGTCTAGCTTAATATTTGCAGAATGTTCTGAAAGAATCCATAGATTTGTGAGGTCCTGTGATGAGGAGGCTTGAACTGGTAAAAGTTTGAGGACAGGAACTGGGGGATCAGCAAGAATCCTTTGTTTATGACAAGTGAAGGAGTGCCAGACAAACCTCTCAGCACAAGCTGAAGATTTGGGAAAGTAGAATCATAAAAATAAGGCTGGAATGGACCTTAAGGGGCCATCCCTTGTGCATGGTAGGATCCACTCTACTTAATCATTATGAAGAGATGTTTGTCTAATTTGTACTTAAATAAATCCAGCACTGGAGATTTCAATTCCTCCCTGGGTAATCTATTCTAATGCTTTTCTATCTGTACTTCTAATAAGTTTTCCTGGTGTTTTTTTAAAATCTCCTTGCTACATATTAACTTTTTTCTCCTTTTTTTTTTTTTTCATCTTTTAAAGATAAAGGGAAGCAATACTTCTGTCCTCTTTTCAACAAACCAACACAATATCATATCTCTCTGTCACCCTGCTTGTTTGGTTTTTTAAGATGAGCTAGCCTCTGCTCTTTAATTCTTGATTCTTGATTTTCACACAAACATGGAATCACAGAATGGTTTGGGTTGGAAGGGACCTTAAAGATGATCTCATTCCAACCCCCTGCCATGGGCAGGGACACCTTCCACCAGCCCAGGTTGCTCAGAGCCCCATCCAACCAAGAAGTGGAATGCACAGGATCACTTAGCAGAGCAAGAAAGGGAAAAGGAAGAAGTTCAGGAGAGTTTTAAGACTAAATGGGGTTAAGTTATGTGTCATCAGTTTCTTCAGGAAGGGGAGTTACGGAACCAAAGCACGGAGGAAAACAACGATAAAAATTGAAGAGCTGAGAAGTGTTTTGTGAGAATAATCTTATTGAAATAAATTGAAGTAAATGCCTTCAGTGTAATTTTTGTGCACTCTTGACTATAAAGTTTTCAGTGAATTACTTTCTTTAAACACACTGGGCCAAATCTTTTGCTTCGAAGGAGTCACACGAGAGATTAATTTAGTCCCTTTATTTGCAAATATCTTGGCAATGGCAGTCTGAGAAAGCAGACTCCCCAAGGCTTTCATGCATATTTGCAGCTGGCAGCAGTACAGGCTTAGAGCATTTGTGTTCTTACATCTGAAAACCACCAAAATAATAGGTAGCATTGGGCACAAACTGCAAAACAGATAGCTGTGTTGAAAAGCTATTGAGCAACTGATAAATAAATGGCAGAGGAAAAGGAAAAAAAAACAATAAACTCAGACCAGAACCATGACAACAGACAAAGCCTTGGAAATACATAAACACTCACAGAATCACAGAATCCTTCAGGTTGGAAAAGACATCCAAGATCGTCGAGTCCAACCTGTGGCCAACCCCCACCCTGTCAACCAGACCAGAGCACCGAGTGCCACGGCCAGGTTGTTTCTTGGACACCTCCCTCTGGCAGCCCATTCCAGTGCCAGACAACCCTTTCCATGGAGAAATTCGTCCCGAAATCCTCCCCCTCGACATGACTGTGTAACCCCATCACACAGGTGGTGCATTTGTTGGTGGTTCAGGTTGTGCAATAAGGGATATGGCCATGGATAAAGCAGGGGTGGAGGTGGGACAATCCCACTCTGCTGCTTGTGAAGAAGTACAGAGGTACTGTAATTAATGATGTGGACAGTAGAAACTCTTGCCTTCCCATAAATCTTCAGAAACTGCATTTCTAGGACCTAGGATATTCCTCCTTTAGTTTTGTTTTGGTTTTTTTTTGCTGGAAGAGATTTTACCTCATTTTGCTGTGTAAACTGAAATAGAAATGCGGATAGAAAAGATGAAATTTTAGAATTTGGAGCAGGATTGGAAGTCAAAGGGACAGAAAGTCTGCACTAACTGAAATGCCAAGGAATCTCCACTCATTGCTCTTGTTACTGTTCAAATAGTCAGGCTTTCATAAAGTTTTATTATAACAAGGAGGAGCTTTGATGTCTATCTTCATTAAAAACATTTTTGGTAAGATATAACTTCAAGTTAAAATCCTGTGCTCTGTAAAAAGGTTTACAAGCTTTGTTTTTGTTTGTTTGTTTGGTTGGTTTTTTTCCTTTTCAAAATAATTCCCAAATTCTTCCTTTACAGATCACTGTGGATTACTGCTGAGTTAAGAGAAAGTAATAAGGAAGGTAGATTGGGTAAGACAGAATTAAATAGTCAGCTGACTTTGTGACATTAAATAAGTTTACACATCCACCCCATTCTCTCCTAACTCTACCTTGGTTTAAATCCATCTTCTCTACTGTTCTTTCAAAATTCATTGTGATCTGACGAGTTTGATGTTTTCACCTTTTCTCCCACTTTGCAAACTGCAGGAGCAGACTCCTTTTTCGAGGTTTTTATGGTAGCTACTAAACCTGGAAGACATTTTTGTTTGCTTGAAAAATAAAATAACTGTGTAGCCCTCTTGGGGAAAAAATGGTCAGTAATGATAAAAGGGGAATTTGTGGCTACAATATTTTGTCTTGTCTCAAATCTCTCCTTTCATCCTCTCTACATCCTTTGGTTTCTTATGCCAGTGAGATCTTTACTTTGGATTATTTTCCCCAGATGCATTCTCTCACATTTTTCCCTTACCTACTCTGATTTTCCTGTTAGGTCCACATTTCCAAATATTTTTGAACTCCTTGTATTCTTTTTTACTAGCTTTCCTTGGGTTTAATCACTCTATCCAGTGAATCTTCTCTCACCTTCATTAAATCCTTATTAACACTAATTATTTAATGATCCTAGGATAGCCCTGGTATACCAACAAATTCATTTCAATGTGTATAGTTTCTTTTAACTCCTTCAGTTTTATGTTGCTTTAAAATACCTTTGATAGCTGAGTTCCTGTGCACTTGCTCAGTGACTTTTGTCTTTTAACATCCCTGAACTTGTGATAATGTTAGATGACTTATTCAAGCTTTTGTTTTAATTTTGCATTTATCAAATGTGTTGTACAAGTGATCCGGACTAAAAAGGCTGGGGACATCTACCAGCAGCCCCATGCTGAGATTTAAAACCATTTTCCTTTGGATGAGCATCCCACTAGAGGGACAGTCTGAACATATCTTTGGTGTGAATAACAAACTCTTCCTTCATAAGAAAGAGAGGGGTTTGGTCCTTGATTTGTAATAATTAACCCTTTTGCAGCTGCTCTGCTTGTGCTCAATGAATTTGTACTGGTTTTTTTGACTTGAAGCATATGGCTTTTTTTTTATATATTTGTTTGTTTGGTTTTGGTTTTGTTTTTTTGATGGTAACTCCTTTGGTCTGTCAATCTGGAATAGTTTCTAAGGTTTTATCTTTTTTCTTCTTCTTCTTGTAAATCCAATGTATTTATCACGCATGCTTTGTAAAATTCTCTTATCACGTTTTTCCTAAATCAAAAAGAAATTAAGGAGAGATCACTTCACATTTTATATTCTTATCAAACTGGATTGTTACCTATGTATGCAGCCAGAATCTGCAATGTATACTGGATGCACTCGGGTATGTTTGAGGCAAATCCTGGAGACCATTCTCTGGGAAAGTTCCCCCTGACGTCAATCTGAGTTTAGCCTGAGTAAAAATTTCATGATTTGGCTCTTTGTTTTCAGAATGGGAATTACAGTTTTTCTACTCTGAGCACTCATTTGGCCTCAAAGCACCTTGGCTCACATGGTTTTCAATAAGTGTCTGGCAGCTGTCCTGGCAAGCTTCCAGCATCCTGGGATTCATATTTATCCCTACATGGACATGTGGCCTTCTTGAAGTCATCACAACTATTTCTAGCTTATTAAGTGTAGAACTCTTCCCATTTTCAGACAAAGAATTGATTCTGAATCGTGCTCTTTTTCACAGCTGAGCGGAATTGTCCCTCCACATCCATGTATGTATGGGTCAAATATCTCTGAGTCTGGACTGTAAAGAAATATGTTGTGCAAAATACTCATAAAAGGAATATGTAGAAACTTGCATTCCAGGAAGCTCTGTGGTCTGCTCAGTCAAGGGTAAGATGACTTGGCAGATCCAGCGAAGACAGATAAACTAATTTTCCAATCCAGATGTAGGTGTATGAAATGCAGTTAAAAAGGACATTGACACCTCTAACCAAGAAAGCTAAACGTAACTTGCCCAAATTTGAGCAGAATATGCACTCAAAGCAAAACTGTCAATTGCAAAAAGCAAGTTGCAGTAATGTAAGCAATACAATGTTCTGCTTGGCGTTTGTCTTCTCACCTTTCCATTCCAGTCAGTTTTCAGAAGTTGCTCTGACCTCTAAAAGTTGCCCCTGGTGGCTCAGAATGCTTTGCTTACCAGAAAGTAAGATGAAAAAGAAGAAGAAAGCCAATTCAGATCTCCAGGTGCTGCCATAGTGCCATTTGATCTCTTAAGTCTGAAGATGTTTCCTGCATCTGACCCCTGTGCCTTAGCTAAGGGAGCGAGATACAAAATAATGCAGATCAACGAGGTGGTGAAAACTTACAGAACATCAAGATGCAGGTGTGGACTGCAGCATCTTTAAACACTTACACCAATTTGTTTAGAAAGTGAGAAACCCATCTTCAGTGTGGAGAAACCCATTCATAAAAGGTACCCACCCCAAACCCGGGTAACATCCCAGAAGATGAATCCCTGGATATCCCATCAGCTGGATTGTTGCTGCAACCAGGACTGCTGAATGAACAGAGAATGGTGGAGGTTGTGTCTGAAGTAGTGAAGATGTTACAGATACAGAAAATGCCTCAAGGACAACTTCCAAAGTTCCATGTAGTCCACATTCTGTTGCTCATGAAGATTAAATAATCTTATAAAAACCAGTTTTTGGTCTCTTCACAGCCACCAGATTCATTAAAAAGTGCCAGTAAGCCAAAAATTTTTTGATAGGGCTGATAAGCAAATATTCTAATTGTAGTAAAGATGGATGATACAATCAATAGTCTTTTTTTTGTGTGTGTGTGAGGCATCAAATCCAAATTCCCGGCTCTGAATGAATTCAGAACTTGGTGGGAATGGGGAGATACATGACAGTCATCCTTTTTATGAGCTGCTTTCTTTGAAAGCCTGGTGGATTTTTGCACATATGCATGGGTAGCACACAGATCACACAGATGTACACAAAACACAGCACAACAGCCTCACCCTGCTAGTGAATATATATATATGTGAGTGTATATGTATGCACATATGCACAATGCAGGTCCCCCAGCAACCAAACCACCCTGTTCTTGACCTTGGACACACCAAGATCTCCCCTAGCACTTGGATCCTCAGCCTCACACCTGCACTTGCTGCATGTGCTGTAGGTCAGACCACCAAACTATTTGTATTTGACCACCCCTTTTTTTATCCCCTTACCCATCTATTTTTTTACCCAGTTGTTCTTCTCCAGGTGACTTAAATCCTTCCCTTCTCCACCTTTGGCTCCTCCTCCAAGCATCCCATAGTAAGTCCTGTGCACTCCCCAAATGCTCTTCCCCTGCATCCTCTGATGTATCAGATGCCTCAAGGCAGTGATCTTAATCCAAAAGGTACTGTGATGTTGAACACTCTGGATGGCTTGGCTTATTCATAAGTGACCATAACGTTTTGGGGTTTTTTCCCTTAATCATAATCACGATTGCTTATTTGTTTGATTTTTGTTTGTTTGTTTTCAGGAGCATCCCAGACCGGAGTATGAGACCAAACTGCTGCAGAAAAAGCTGAAAAATAAAAACATCGCAACAGAAAATCCAAACGAGGTAGGATGCAGCTTACCCTTTTCATTTATGTTGGATTCGTGTTTTGCTATGTTGTGATTATGTTTCTGTCTTTGTCTGATAGTTTGCAAAAGGTGCTTTTTTTGGTGCTCCTAAACCTCGTAAGTTGGTTGGTCTGGGTGGTGGTCTGGTGTCATGCAGGTTTTGAGGTCACCACTTTACTGGCTCTGCAAAGTAAAGCAATTTACATAGAAATAAAGTTGACAGGTGGTTCAGGATCTAATCTTTGGAGTAGTGAATGATTCCTAGGATAATCACCTCAGGAATTCTCACAGCAATGACCTAGAATGTCATTGCTTTTTGGGCTTTTATTAAGGTGATTTTATTTGCATGGGTAACACTGGTGTGTCTTTAGACTGATGTCTCAGTTACACAGTTGTGAAGCTTTGGTAGCATTTCCAGGATAGGTGGAAAAAATAATAATTGGTAGGTCATTTTCAGATTGAAGTGAGTTTATGATTTTTGCAGATATTTAAAGCCCTTTTTTTTTAATCAATCCCCTCTTGTTGACTGGGGTGCATTTCCTAAGCATTCACAAATTCTGTAACCTTGGTCCATTAGGCTTGGTTAACCATTGCTGATTCCCTGCACTCCACATGTGCCAGCAAAGCCAAGGTATTCCCATACCATGTTCTGTTCCCAGGTAGAAGAAAACAGTTTAATTTTTTTAAACACTGAGAACCAGTATATGAACTGGAGAATGCCTTGGGTTTGGTCCAACAGATTGAGCCCTGCAGCTTCAGGAAGGACTTCACTATCCCTTTCTTCTGCTGGTCACCACCAGGATTGTGAAGCGTTTCCAGGGAATCTTTCATTTCAATCAAACTGCTTTTCACTTGTTGTGCCCAAGAAAACTCCACAGAAGACAATGGAAAATTCCCAGTTATTTTAGTGGGCTTTGGGCCTTGCCCAGCATGAGGAGAGACTCTCACATAGCACTATGGACAGGTCTTCCCTTACAAAACATGCAGTTCTCTTGGCCTTCCCTGTGAGGGATCAAAGGCTGTAAATTTGGATGAAACAGTTGCTGCTGTTCAGCTTTTTTTCTTTTTTAAGTATGTGAAAACTGGAAACAAGTCAGCGACTGATGCTGTAGGATAGAATTATCTTGCTTACCTGAGACACAGAAATCACAACATTATAAGTTAGAAACTAATTTAAGGTAAAACAAAACCAAAAAAAGAAAGTGGGGGAAAAAAAAGTATGGAAAAATAGTAACAATGCACTATAAAAAGAAGAATAACTCCTTTCAGACATTAAGGATGAAAAGGCTTTCCCGAAATACTTTTTCCTTTAATTGCTTTCCGTGCCAATGTGGATGGAAAAATTGCTGATTTTTTAAATCTTGAATTAGTGTTCCCCAAATTACTGAAATGTATTCCCAAAACAACCGAGCAGTTTTCTAGCAGTCAACGTGCTGCTTACTAATTCTGTGGTAATTCTGCCCGGCAAACACACACGGGTTTGGGTTTGGGTTTGGAAGATGAGTGGCTCATATGTTAGTACCTCAATGTCTTATGGTATTACAAGAGCAAGAAATGATCATGTAGGACCTGCTGAAGAGAAAACAGAACTGGTTCTTTAGCTGAACTGTTGTGTTTAATTAACTGTGGAGATGCACCATTACGTTTTGCTCTGCGAGACCCTCAAAGTTAGATATTAAAAGGGATGAGTATTTAAAACCAGCAATAATTCCTCAAACCCTCTCTTTAGAGTTTTAAATCTTTGCTTTTCCCTCCTTCAGGTGGCTTGGTTTTATACTCTTTGCAAGACCATTAGCTCAGGAGCTTTGGGAGGGCAGGTTAATGGTAAGGCACAGGTTTCTGTGAGGCCTCTGGGTCGGTATTTCTTGCTGGGTGGAAGCCAGGGTACAGGACTGTGTCATACCAACAAAAGTGCAGATCCAGGGGTTGGACAGGCATCAAAGTAGAGATCTCTCTGTAGTTAAAGGTTCAATCCTCCTCGTTTCTTGGGTTTGTGTGAGTACACAGATGCCTGTGAGGTCTCCATCTCCTCGTAACGTGGTTGACAGTCTAATGTCATGGCAGAAGTCTCTGTGAAGTTGCCTCCTGAATGTTTTCAGCTAACTAGTGTAAATCAAAGGCATATCTTTTTGGTGTGGCTGGTCAACAACTGTAGCATGCTGTGTTAATATCAAAGGACAGGGTCTGGCACCGCTGCGTAAAACTTCTCATCACTTATCTAATATGAAGTCAGAAGTCTCCAATTCAGCAGCTGTGGCTTGTTGGGATAGAAATGATGCCAAAGCTGTGGCTATTGTGAGAATACTGATTTAGAGCTTACTTAAAGGCATATATTTCTATGAAATTACTGGCTTGTTTCCAGTAAATGTTAATTCCTCTGTTCCAGTGAGGATGTGACAGGTTTTATGGCAAGAAACTGAGCTTTTATGTGCAAAGCTCTGTGTATGGTGCTTTTTTTTTTTTTTTTTTTCTTCTTGCCCTATTCCAACAGGAAATTCCTGTGAAGCTAATTGGGTTATTTTTTGCAATGAAGAGTAAGGGGTTTGGTTATGGGCTGGTTTTGTGATTGCAGAAGAAAACTGACACCACTTACATACTCTCTTAAATGATAACTTGGGAATACCTGTTAAGAGGAAACCTACTTCAACATACAGTTTTCCCTGTCTGCTGCTGAAGTCATTAACTTTAATGAGTGTGGAAGATGCCCAGCACCTGTCAGGGCCAGTAAACATATGAGTCACTCTGCCCAGGCAGCAAATTCCACATCAGCTTGATGAGACTGCTGATAGAAAGTATGACACATCTAATGTATTGCTTGCCCAGTGGGGTTTGTGTTCTAGAACACAGCTCTCACACAAAATACTGCTTAGTGTGTAATAAGCAAAGAAAAAAAATTCAGCCTACACCGCCCTGTGTGGCTCAGGCTGTTTTAATAAATCTTTTATTGGTTATTTGGAGAGTGGTAAAGAACCTGTGAGGGCTCAAAGCACTTCACAAAAGATTGGTGTGAAGTTACTCTAACAATAACACCCTAGGGTTCTACTGTTTCAGAAGATAATTCATTTAAAGCTAAAGGAGTTGAAACACGTCTGAGGTCAAGTAGAAGATTAATAAAAAGACAGTCCTTATGAATTGAAACATTCATTTTAAAAAATGGCAAGTTCTAAGGGACTGAGTAGAGAAACCTGCAATGATCTGACTCATAGACAGCAGGACTATTTAATTCTTTGTGGTCATGTACTATTTACAAGAACTTGTAGTGACAGGACATGGGGAATGGCTTCAAACTGACAGAGAGCAGGGTTAGATTGGATATCAGGGAGAAATCCTTCCCTGGGAGGGTGGGCAGGCCCTGGCACAGGTTGCCCAGAGAAGCTGTGGCTGCCCCATCCCTGGCAGTGTCCAAGGCCAGGTTGGACGGGGCTCTGAGCAACCTGGGCTGGTGGAAGGTGTCCCTGCCCATGGCAGGTGGGGGGTTTGGAATGAAATGGTCTATGAAATGGTCTTTAAACTCCTTTCCAACCCAAACCACTCTATGATTCTGTGATGTAAAGGCTTGCCTTGTGATTCAGGTGCATTAAAAGACATCTTGCAGTGGAGATGAGGGCTTATACCTGCAGGAATGTGTGTGTCTGACAACACATTCACGAAAATACAGCAGATGCAAATTTTGTAATGCAGCAATTAACATATTTTGTTGTTCTTTTTTACTGCACTGTAACACTGTAGGTCTTGACAGAAGTATTTAATGAATAGGGTAAAGTCACTATATCTGCACAACAGTAACTAAGAAGGTGTTGGATACTTCTAATCTTGTGATAAGTTTTTTTTCTCTCTGCAATAGTGGCATCCTCAATGGAATTACACACAGGCCAGGAAATGAAAATTGGTCTTGTGCCTGAAAACATGCAGATGGGGCTAGATCCAACTCTCACTGGAGCTGATGGAAAGAAAACTTCCAGTTGTTTCTGGGAGAAATGGATCAGGCCCTGACTCTTTTTCATTAAGTATCCAGCTGATCTGGCAAACATGATGCAACATCATATATATATATATATATATATATTCTTATCTTTCCTATTTGGCAGGAAAATGAATAACTCATTCTACATATTTCTCAAGGAAAAATTTTCTTTATAGAGGCTTCTCTCTTGGCTCATGTCCTTACTTGGAGCCAACCCTGGGAATAACAGAATCTGGCATTCTGTCTTTCCATTAATTAATTTTAAATTGTGCTGTGTTCCCATATTTATGATTACATTCCTGTCAGCCTTCAGAAGGAGATACCTCTTTCTGTGCTCTTGGTAAGGTGAAAGAAAAATGCTTAGAAATATAGCATAGTAGAATAATTCAAGTTGGGAAGGCTTTCAGGATTTTATCTGCTCCAAAGGACTATCCTATCCAAAGGAGTGTCAGGTGTGATACCAAGCCAGGTTACTCGGGATTTTGTCCAGTTGGGTGTTGAAAACCTCCAAGGATGGAGATGGTGATACCTTTCCAAATACTGCCTGACTGTCCTCGTGGTGTGAAAGCTTCTCATTCCACCCAGCCAGATCCTCTCTGCTTTCAATTTATGACCACTGTCTCTCTTAGTCCCAGCGTGGACCACTGTGAGGAGCCTGGCTCTGTCTTCTTGATAAGATTAAACACCTTGAACAAGCCTTGTTCCCCTTCCTTGGGCAAGTGCTCCAGGGCTCTGTCCTTGACTCAGAGTAGAGGCATTTATTTTTTCAACTGGAGTGCCCAAAACTGAGCACAATATTTTAGGAGCAGGCTAGTGAGTGCTGAAAAGGTGATCTCTTCTCTGGACCCACTGGTTGATGCATCCCAGGGTGCTGATGGTCTTTGCTGCCAGGGCACATTCCTGGCCCTGGTTCAGCTTGCTCTCTGGAGACACCAAAGGGCCCCTTTCAGTGTCTGTTCTCCTGAAAGGAGTTTTCCTTTTGTTGTCAAAGGCCCTTCTGTTGTCAGTGTCCTTATGGAGATGATAGAGATCAA